GGAGTACAGACAGTCAAGTGCCAAATGGAGGCTTATACACTGCAGCAAGGAACAAAGAGAAAGGGCCAATCTAAATGAGACGTTTCTTGGAAGCGGTGCAGGATGGAGAAAGGAAAATGCGTCCGGCCCTGCGCCACAGGTGGGAAATCCAAGAATAAAGATCAAATCAACATGGAGGTCACTTTGCATAGAAAAGGCCAAAGAAGGTCATGCAGCTCAAAATGAAGGTTGATTTCAGACCCTGCTATGAAGCTATAGGCAAGAAGCCGTCACTAATCGATCCTTCAGACTGTGTATAGATTTACCTGATCATGACTGTGTGACGGTTGGGTGTAATGGGGATGAGGTGTTCGTCGTCATCCAAAGGAAGAGAACGACCTTCTGAGTTCGGTCAGCGATTAATCGAGCTAGGAGGAAAGCAGCCAAGCAGCACCGGAGAAGACACCGTCCTGGAATTTGGGGAAGTGAGTAGAAGGGTTGTTGAAAATGACCACGAACAGGATGATGCAACTCACTCAAATAAAAGACTCAAGAACTTGCTTGTGGGGAAGTAAGATACTTGGTTTGGGACTTCTGATTGAGGGGTGGTAGGGAATCCAGGATCCTAAGATCTTGGCGGGCTAAGTGGACTTAAGATGTGGACATATATGCATGCGAGAGAGGTCCAGTGACAAGATGAAAAATTTCAGGAAAGAGTACAGGATCCTGCAGTAGAAACACTACCATTATACATTGGCACTAGGGGCAACAACACTAACAGCTAATTACGGCAAAATGCACTCACTGCACTGCCATGGAGTCAATAGCTGACTCATGTCAGCAGCCCAACTTGAAACTACTGCACCTCAATTCAAAGATGTGTGCCCTGTTTTATTTTCAAAATGGAAACCGCTCTAAGCTTCTAAGGAACTTGAGTGCTAGACAGCCATCTTAAACACCTCTGGGAGTCCCTCGTCACTCGGTGGCACTAAGGGGGCTCTTGTGATAGTTTTATGGTGCTGTGGAAATAATCGATTTCATTCCAAAGACCAGGGATTGATTCCTGGGTCCCCTTCCAAAACCACCTGAACATAAATCTGAGCCTGTTTCACCAGTGAGGTTATGACTTCCTCTTTAATTGCTTTATGAGGTTTTGAAGATCAAATGGGACTCTCCAAGTGCAATACTAATGTAGCCAATTACAGGAATGGATCTTAGCCTAGCTATTGCCTGGTGGAATAGAAATGGGAATAAAAAATGATGTAGAATAAGTAGAAATTCCATTATTAGTAAAGAAACTACTTCAGCCAAGTATCTATTTCCCCACTGTGCTGATTAGAGTCTGTACTGCAACAGATTGGAATAACCAGATCATGTCAAAATCCTAGCCTGAGGGCTTTTGTTTTGCTCCACTTCCGGACACTGGGACGGGAGGGATGGGACTAGATACCAACAATTCCTTTAAACATTTAAAATTCCTTTTTTCTCGGGCAATGAATGTACAAATGTGCTTTACACAATTGATGTATGTATGGATTGTGATAAGAGTTGTATGAGCCCATAATTAAACTATTTTTAAAAATGAGAGCAAAAAAAAATAAAATTCCTCTTTTCTTAAGGCGTGGGTTTGGTTGGTTGCATCAACTTCCAAAGTCCAAAGATTATACCAGAGCCAGATGCTAGTCAGGGAGAGGCATTGTCTATGGAAGGATCAAGAGGCAAAAAAAAAAAAAAAAAAGTGTGAGACATCCCCTTATAAAAAGGAAAACTAGCTGATTCCGGGAACCCAAG